ACTGTAGTAAGGTGGACACAGTAGTAACGTGGACACTATAGTACGGTGCACACTATAGTAAGGTGGACACTGTTATTTGATGGTGACTGTAATAATGTGAACACTAATAATGTGGGCACTGTAGTAAGGTGGACACTGTATTGTGATGGTCACTGTAGTAAGGTGGACACCGTAGTAACGTGGACACTATAGTACGGTGCACACTATAGTAAGGTGGACACTGTAGTAAGGTGGACACTATAGTAAGGTGGACACTGTATTAAAGTGGGCACTGTTATATGATGGTGACTGTAATAATGTGAACACTAATAATGTGGGCACTGTAGTAAGGTGGATACTGTATTGTGTTGGTCACTGTAGTAAGGTGGACACTGTAGTAAGTTGGACACTGTAGTCAGGTGGACAGTGTAGTAAGGTGGACACTATAGTAAGGTGGACACTGTAGTAAGGTGGACACTGTAATATGATGGTTACTGTGGTATGGTGGACACTGTAGTAAGGTGGACACTGTATTATGATGGTCACTGTAGTAAAGTGGACACTGTAATATGATGGTCATTGTAGTGAGGTGGACACTAAGAAGATGGACACTGTAGTAAGGTGGACACTGTAATATGATGGTCAGTGCAGTAAGGTGGACACTGTAATATGATTGTTCTCTGTTATATGGTGGTCACTGTAGTGCGGTGGACACTGTAGTTTGGTGGACACTGTAATATGATGGACACTGTAATATGGTGGTCACTGTAGTAAGGTGGACACTTTTATATGATGGTCACTGTAACATGGTGGGCACTGTAGTAAAGTGGATACTATAGTACAATTGTGACTGTAGTGCGGTGAACTCTGTATTATTAGGGTGTGTCATAGGAGGGAAGATCAGCTAAAACTAATGGCCCATCACTTTTTTGGTAGATTTTAGTGTATATAAACAGAAAATACTTTGTTTCAATATTTTGCAACCTTTTGCTAGGTAAATTTTAGCGTGAAATTTATCGAAAATCTAACGTACAGCTGCATTAGTGCATTACAATTAAATAGTGAACATTGCTTTCTGACTTCATTCTTTAACAACCCAACTAACAATATTTTTTTCTGTTTCAGATTCTGATGCATTTATAAGTTGATAATATTTGCGATGGCTGCTTGTGTCAGGACGAGGAACCAAAAATCGCCATCAGTCACTATCTTAAGGTCTGGGAGAGAGCTCCTGAAGTCAGAGTTGCCTACATTGAGATGCTTTGAGATAAGGTGTTTAATCAGGCAAATCAGTGAAAAGAAGACAGAACTTACACAAACAAAGGCAGCCCGCAGTAAGTATGACCAAAAGCTGTCTTGGCACAGTACACTCTGGCTAACGCTCAGTTCAAGCCTCCAGTCATAACAAGTCAGAAGAAGATTAGTGAGAGACTGCTAGCCAGTTGGGAAAAGGCAAGAGATATCTCTCTTGGGAGAGGAAAGCTTGCAGTTAAGGACAGCTTTGCCAAGCAACTGGACCAGTTATTTGACATAATTACTTGCAAGTGCCCAATTGTTCTCTGTCCTGAGTTTGGATGCGATCATGACTGTAAATCCGAGGCCCACATCTCCTGTATTTGCAAGCGTGAACTGAAGATTCCTGTGATCGAACTGGCATTTGTCAAAGCACAGAGAGAGAAGACTGGCAGTATAGGGGCTCTCATGATTTCTAGCCAAGATATTCCGGAGTCCAAGAGACAGGAGGCTGCCACAGAGACACAGAAGAGGAGAAGAGTTGCCGAGGAAAAGAGACTTGAGAAGGCCCAGGGTGAGGTAAAAAAGGCCGATGATTGGAGTCAAGCTGATTCAGAGTTTAATGACTTCCCCCATGGCTGATCCGAGTGCTGACCAGGAGAATGGTGACTTTGTCCCTAACCCAGAAAATAATGATCCCAAACCTTCCAGGCATAACATTCGAAATAGGAAAGATATCCCGAGCATAGCTCTGGCCAGCATGCGACACCACACTGGTCTCAGAGGAAACTGCAGAGATAGCAACAGCTGCCTGGATTGACGGTGGTTTGATAACACCTGATGATGTTCACCTGGTGATAGATCATAACAAAAGTAAGAGAGAGCTCGAAGAAACTTCTTGTCCAGTAACCTAGAAAGGAGTTTGAAATGGGGATAAGAAAAAATGGAATCAATTGTTTGTTCTTTGATGGGAGAAGGATGAAACTAAGAGATGATGTTCATGAAAGTTGGAGATTCTGACAAGTTGTTCCCTGCCATGGTGAAGGAGGAACACTACTCCTGCTGCAGTGAACCAGGAGGGGAAGTATTTGTGGCATTTCACTCCAGAAAAAGATGACATCAGGAAACCAGCTGAGATAGTGGCAGATAACATTGTGAACTGGCTCAGAGAGAGGAACGTAGACCAGACCCTGCAGGCCATTGGAGGGGACAGCACCAACACGAACACAGGGTGGCAAGGGGGGGTCATACAGTGAATAGAGCGGAAGATTGGGAGGAAGCTGGTCTGGAATGTTTGTGACCTCCACACCAACGAGTTGCCACTCAGACATACAGTCAGGAGGCTGGGATCAGCAGGACTGCTCAGAGCAACAGAGTGGTCTGGTCTCTTGGCAAGATGCTGGACTCTGCCACTGAGTTAGAAATAAATCCGAGCTTTGAAAAAATCACAGTTGGCCCTCCACTCGTTGAGCTTGCACATACTGTCATTGACGACCTGAGTACTGACCAGTACTATGGTTACATGATTTGCAGTGCCTGATAGACTTGCTTACCTGCAGATAGGTCCAGTCTCACATTCTAGGTGGCTCACAACGGCTCTCAGGTTCTGCAGAATTTGGGTCGCTCATAAACTGAAAGGGAACCAGCTTCACAACCTGAGACTTATTGTCCAATTCATCGTGAGTGTCTACTTGCAAATTGGTTCAACACCAAGGTCAAGTCATCGTTCTCCGAAGGTCCGAGGCATGCTCTTCCAGCTTGAGCTCCTGAGAGTCAGCCAAGGAAGGTTGTTCAGATTGTGGAGCAGACTGTGAGGAGATCTTCCTGGTATGCTCATCCCGAGGCAGTTCTGCAGACAATGCTCTGCAGTAAGGATGAGGAGGAGAGAAGAGTGGCAGTCAAAAAGATCTTGGATATGAGACTTATGAGAGGATCTGGGCATGACGAATCAGTTGGTGACGATTCCTTCAGGGTCAGGAAGACTCCTGAAGTCAATCTAGGTGCCAAGACCCTCACTGATCTCATAGATCTGGATAACATCCAGGCTGGCAGTGAGCCCCCTCTTACCTGCAGCCTCACCAATGTTCAAGTCAGAGCTTTCCTGGACAACCCCATGCATGTCCCTGCCTGGCCCTCGCACACCCAGAGTATAGAGCGTTGTGTACAGCAAGTGAGCGAGGCCAGCAGTCACGTGTACAGCCAGGAGAGGAGGGAAGGCTACATCCGAGCTCAGGTGGTCAGCAGGGAGGTGATGAGTAGAAACAGAAGCAAGAAAGACATGTTCTCTATGGTGTGCAGCAACACCGGGTCGTAGTAGTAAAACCGGTTTTTGTATTTGATGATTTTGTTTTCTAAAGGAATATTAAATTTAATAAATGTGTCAGATCATTCGTTTCACTATTCTGGATCATTTTCATCCTAATAAATTAACCTGATACATTTACTTTACTTTAAATAAGCTATTTAGTGGTGTTGGTAAAAGGGTGGGAATACTGAATTTTCATAGATTTCAAGTTAAAATTTACCTAGCAAAAAATGAAAACTTTTCAAATCTGAAGATATCACATGATTCTGCACATAGAACTACATCATTAATACCATGGGCCGATATTTCAAACTCAAAAAAAAAAAATTCGCCTCCGTATGACACACCCTACAGTGTAGTATGGTGGACACTGTAAAATGATCGTCACTGTAATATGGTGGACCACTGCAGTAACGTGGACACTGTAGTAAGGTGGAGACTGTCATATGATGGTCACTGTAATATGATGGTCACTGTAATATGATGCTCACTGTAGTAAGGTGGACACTGTAATATGATGATCACTGTAGTAAGGTTGACACTGTAATATGATGGTCACTGTAATATGATGTTCACCGTAGTAAGGTGGACACTGTAATATGATGATCACTGTGGTAAAGTGGACACTGTAGTAAGGTGGACACTGTAATATGATGCTCACTGTAGTAAGGTGGACACTGTAATATGATGATCAATGTAGTAAGGCACCTAAGGGCGCCACCGCCCGTCGCAGGGCCCCTGGGGCGCGCCACCGTTCCTGGCAGGGCCCGTGGGGGCGCCGCCACCCATGGCAGGGCAGTGGCACTTCCAGGGGCTCTTCCAGGGGCCCTCACAGGAGCGGCGTTGACCCCAGGTTCCATTGCAGGGTCCTTCCCGCGGGCAACGGTGCCCCAGGGGTCTTGACAGTGGCTGCGTTGTTGCAGTGGCCCTCCCAGGGGCGGCGGAACTCCCAGGGGCGGCAGAACTCCCAGGGGCCCTTCCAAGGGCGAAGGCGCCCTCAGGGGCCATCCCAAGGGCGGTGGCGCTATCAGAGACTCTTCCAGGGGACCTCCCATGGGCTGCAGCGACCACAGGGGCCCACGTACAGGCGGCGGCAACCTCAACGGCCATCCCAGAGGCGGCGACTTCCCCAGGGTCCATCCCAGAGGCGGTGGCGATCCCAGAGGACTTCTCAGGGTGGAAGGGACCTCAGGGGCTTTCCTATGGGCGGCGGAACTCCCAGGGGACCCCTTAATGGCGGCGTTGCCCCCAGGGGCCCTCGAGGGGCGGTGGTACCACCAGGAGCTCTCCCAGGTGCCCTAACAGGAGCGGCGGCGTCCCCAGAACCCCTCTCGGGGGTGAAGGCGATCCCAGGGGCACTACCAGGGGCGACGTAGCCCCCAGGGACCCTCCGAAGAGTGGTGGCAACCCCAGGGGCTCTCGCAGGGGCGGATGCGACCGCAGGCACCCTTTCAGGGGCGGCGGTGCCCTCAGGGGCCCTACCATGGGCGTTGGAGCTCTAGGGGTCCGCGCAGGGGCAACGCCCCCCTTCCTCCCAGGGACTCTCTTTAGAGGCAGCAACGCCCACAGGGGCCCTCTCAGGGACGGAGGTGCCTCTAGAGACCCTTCCGGGGGCAGTGGCGCAACTGGGCCCTCTAATGGGCGGTGGTTCCCTCAGGGGTGGCAGCGCTCTCAGAGGCTTTACTAGGGGCGGTGGTGCCCCTGTAATAGCCTCTGTCTTATAGGCAGAAGTATTATATAAATGGGTTAATTACATTAGACATATATACTTCATCACCCTCTGTAACTTTCCACTAGCTATGAGGTAATATGTTCAGAGCACGTGTTAAGGTGTGCCCACGGGAAGTCGCGTCACTCAGTGCTGAGCTAAGGCATTGAATAGCCGGCTTTCTGGCCACCTGATGCGGGCAGTAGTTTCATATCCTTGACTAGAGGAAGACGTTATTGAGACCCATCGTGGATGGTTCCGTCTTCCCTTGAGGGAGGACGGCGGATACATTTACGTTCTCCCTGACGGGTATTACAGGCACTCTTACTTAACCCCTCACCCCAACAGGACGTATTTTAGAAGAGCTATTTAATATAGACTCCATCCTCATTTAACACACATGGCTACAGTGATTAAGTTGCGGTGATAATCCTTTTTAAAAGTGTACATAGAAACCTTTTATAATAAACACAGAAAAGGATTTAACTTTTATCTATATTTTAGTATATCTAAAATATAAGGTAACGTGCTTCTCAAGTGACTGTTATAAGTGGTGGCAATTTCACCTCAACAGACTACACAGTTGGTAAAGGTAGAGATATTATGTTCTCCCCATAACTGTGTTATGTATCTGTTACAAAGAAGAAACCGTTATACCCCCAAGGGCCCTCCCAGGTGCTCTCTCAGGGGCGCTGTTACTCCCAGAGGACTTCCCAGGGGCGGTGGCGCTCCCAAGAGCCTGCCAGAGGCAATGGTGCCCCCAGGGCCTCTCCTTAGGGGCACTGACGCGCTCAGGGGCCCTCCCAGAGTCGGTGGCGCCTCCAGGAGCCCTGCCAGGGCCGGTGGTACTCCCAGAGGACCTCCCAGGGGCGGTGGCGCCCCCAAGAGCTCGACAGGGGCAACGGCACCCCCGGGGCCTCTCCTTAGGGGCAGCAGTGCCCCCAGGGGCCCTCCCAGAGGAGGTGGTGCCTCCAAGAACTCTTCCAGAGACGGTGGTGGCCCCAGGGGTGATGGCGGCCCCAGGGGCCCCGCCTAGGGGCAACAGCAACCCCAATGGTACTCCCATGGGAGGTGACGCTCCCAGGGGCGCTCCCATGGGTGTTGGCGACCACAGTGGCGGTTAGGATGCTAGGGGCCATCCCAAGGGTGGTGGCGCCACAAGAGGCAGCGGCGCCGTCAGGGGACCTCCCAGGATCGGCAGCGGCCCCGGGGGCTCTGCTAGGGGTGATGGAAGCCCCGAGAGCCTTCCCAGGGGCGGCAAAGCGCCCAGGGCCCCTGCCAGAGGCGTTGCAGCGGCGCCCCCAGGGTGCGCTCGCAAGGGCAGTAGCCTCCCCAGGGGCCCTGAGCGGGGCGTTGGCGCACCTAAGGGTATTTCCAGGGGCGGTGACGCCATCAGACGGCCACCCAGAAGCGGCGGCGACCCCAGGGACCCTCTCACAGGCAACGGCGACCAAAGAAGCTCTACCAGAGGCGGCGTCGACCCCTGGGGCCCTCCGAGGGGCGTCAGCGATCCCAGGTGCCATCCCAGGGATAGCGGGGACGCCAGGGTCCATCTCAGGGGCAACAGGGATCCCAGAGGCCCTCCCAGGGGCCCATCAAGGAGCGGCGGCGCCACCAGGGGGCCCTCCCAGGAGTAGCGGAATCCCAGGGGGTCTCACAAGGTTGGGAGAGCCCCCAGGGGCCCTACCAGAAGCGGTGGCGCGCCTAGGAGCCTTTCCAGGACAGCGGTGTTGCCAGGGATCGTCCCAGGGGCAGCGGCGCCCCAAGGGGCCCTCCCAGGGGTTGCGTCGCCCCAGGGACCCCCCCATGGACGGTGGCACCCCCAGGGGCCCTACCCGGGGCGGTAGCACCCGAACGGGCCCTCCCAGGGATGATGGCACCACCCGGGACCCTCCCAGGGGCAGTGCCACCCCCAGGAGCCCTCCCAGGGTAGGTGGCACCCCCAGGGGCACTTCCAGGGGCTGTGAAACCCCAGGGTTACTCCCTGGGGCGGTGGTACCCCAAGAGACTTTTCCAGGGTCAGTGTTTTCCCTAGGAGCACTCCGAGGAGCGGTGACATCCCCCTGCGTCCCTCTCAAGGGCACCGGCTCCTCCAAGGGCCCTCCAACGGGCGGTGGCATCCCCAGAGACCCTCCCAGTGTTTGTGGCACACCCAGGAGGCCCTTCCAGGAGCAATGGCACTCCCAGGGGCCCTTCCAGGAGTGTTAGCATCCCATAGGTCCTTCCAGGGTCGGTGGCACACCTAGGGGCTCTCCCATCGGCGACCCCAGAGCCAGCTGGGACCCCAGGGGCCCTCCCAGAGCCGGCGGCGCTCCCAGGGGCTCTACCAGGGGGGAGTGCGCTCCAGGGGCACACGCAGGGGCACTGCCAATGGAGGTGGCACCCCCAGGGGCCCTGCCAGGTGCGATGGTGGTCTCAGGAACCCTCCCAGGGGCGGTGGCGCCTCCAGGGTTCGTCCCAGGAGCAGCGGCGCCCGCAGGGACCCTCCCAAGGGTAGCGTCGCCCCAGGGGCCCTCCCAGAGGGATTGGTGCCCTAGGGGCACCCCCGAAGGCCCTGTCAATGGAGGTGGCAGCCCTAGGGGCCCTGCCAGGGATGGTGGTGGTCTCAGGGGCCCTCCCAGGGGCGGTGACACCCCCAGGGGCCCTACCAGGAGCGGTAGCATCCCCAGGTTTCCTATCAGGGGCGGGGGCACGACTAGGGGCCCTGTGAGGAGCGGTGGCACCCCCAGGGTCCTTCCAGGGGCGGTGGCACCCCCAACAGCCCTCCCACCGGCGACGCCAGGGTCCCTCCCAGGGGCAGCGGAGATACCAGGGGTCCTTCCAGGGGCGGTGGCCCTCCAAGAGGCGGCGGCGCCCCCAGGGGACCTTTCAGGGGGGTTTGCGCCCCAGTGGCACACGCAGGGGCTCTGCCAATAGAGGAGGCACCCCCAGGGGCGGTGGCGGTCTCAGAGGCCCTCCCAGGGCCAGTGGCGCCCTCAGAGGCCCTTCCAAGGGCGGAAGCGCCGCCAGGGTTCGTTCCAGGGGTAGCAGTGGCCCCAGGAACCCTCTCAAGGGCAGCGTCACCCCTGGTGCCTTTGCAGGGACAGAATCGTCCCAGAAGCCCTCCTAAAGGCAGCAGGGCCAACAGGGGCCCTCTCAGGTTTGGGGTTGCGCCCGTGGGGCCCTGCCAATAAAGGTGGCACCTTCAGGGGCCCTGCTAGGGGTGGTGGCGGCCTCACTGGCCCTCCCAGGGACGGTGGCAGCCCCAGGAGCCCTACCCGGGGCGTTAGCACCCCCAGGGGCCCTCTAAGGGGCGGTGGCACCACCAGGCGCCATCCCAGAGGTAGTGGCACTCCCGGGGGTCCTACCAGGTGCCTATCCTGTGGCAGTGGCACCCCCAGTGGCTTTTCCATGGGCGGTGGCTCTACTAGGGGCCCTCTGAGAGGCGGTGGCAGCCCCAGGGACCTTCCAGGGTTTGTGATACACCCAGGGGGTCCTGCCAGGAGCAGTGGCACCCTGGGGGCCCTCCCAGGGGAGTTGGCATCCCTAGGGTCCTTCCAGGGGCGGTGGCATCCCTAAGGGCCCTCCCAGGGTCGGTGACACCCCGAGGGGCCATTCCAGAGGCGGTGGTACTCCCAACGGCCCGGCCAGGAGCAGTGGCGCCCTCAGTGGCCCTCCCAGGTGCAGTAGAAACCCCAGGGGGCCCTCTCAGGGGCAGTGATACTTATAGGGGCCCTCTCAGAGGAGCCGGCGCCCCTTAAGACCCCCAGAGTCGTTCAAAGGCCGTCTTAGGGGCGCCTGCGCCAGGTGTGGTGGCACCCCAGGGGCCCTCCCAGGTGCGGTGGCTCTTCCAGGAGCCTTCCCAGATGCGGTGGCACCCCTAGGGCCCTCAGAGGCCCTTCCAGGGGCAGTGGCCACCTGGGGGCCCTCTCAGGTGGTGCTGATACCCGCAGGGGCACTCCCAAGGTCGGTGGCTCCCGTAGGGGGCCATCCAGGGTCTATGGCACTTTCAGGGGGCCCCAGCAGCACTGCCAGGAGCTTTGGCGTCCTCAGGGTGGTGGCACCCCCAGAGACTCAGCTAGGGGCGGTGGCTCCCTCAGGGGCCCTCCCACGAGTGTTGGCACCCTCAGGGTCCTTCCAGGGGTGGTGACAACCTCAGGGGCCCTGCCAGCGGAGGTGGCACTCCTAGGGGTCGTCCCAGGGGCGGTGGCACGCCCATTTCTCCTCTCAGGTCCGCAGATGCCCCCAGGTGCCCTCCCAGGGGCGGTGGCAGTTTCAGAGGTCCCCAGAGGCACTGCCAGTGGCGTTGGCACTTCCATAGGAAGTGGCATCTAAAGGGGCCCTGCCAGGGGTGGTAGCACCCCCTGTGGCCCTCCCACGGTCTGTGGCATCCCCAGAGGATCAAACAGGAGCCCTACTACTGGCTGTGGCAACCCCAGGGGCCGTGATGCCCTCAGGGGCCCTCTCAGGGGCGGTGGCACCCACATGGACTCTCTCAGGGGCCCTGCCGGGGGCAGTGGCACCCCCAAGGACCCTCCCAAGGGCTGAGGCATTCCCATGGGCCCTCCGAGGGACGGTGATACGCCCAGGAATCCTCCCAGGGGCGTTGGCTCCACAGGGAACTCTCAGAGGCTGTGGCTCCGCTGTGGTCTCTACCGAGAGATGGCATCCCCAGTGGTCTTGCAGTGGGGGTGACACCCCCTGGGTACTTCCCAGGAGTATTTGCACTCCCTTTGGCCCTCCCAGGGGCGGTGGAACATCCAGGAACCGTTCCTGGGACGGAGACACCACCACGGGCCCTTCCAGGGGTGTCGCCGCCCGCAGGGGCCCTTCCAGAGTTGATGGCACCCCGAGAAGCCCCCCAGGATCGGTGGCAACCCCTAAGAAGGCTCCTAGGATCGCCGCCGCCCCTGGGAGGGCAGTTGAGGTCATCACCGACCCTTGGCAAGTCCCTGGGGTCGCCACCACCACTGGAAGAGCCCTTTGGGTCGCTGTTGTCCCTGGTATGGCCCCTGCCAATGCTGAACGCCCCTGGAGAGCCCCTGGGGACACCACCGCCCCATCGAGGGTCTCTTGGAGAGCCTCTGGAGGCGCCACCGCCCCTGGAAGGGCTGCCGCCCTTGGAACGGCCACTGGTAGTTCCTCCGTCCCTGGGAGGGCTTCTGGTGGCACCATCGCCCTCGAGGGCCCCTGGGGGCCACGCAGCCTTTGGGGGGGCCACGCAGCCTTTGGGGGGGCCCTGCGGTCGCTGCCTTCTCTGTGAGGGATCCTGGGGGCGCCACCGCCCTTGGAAGGGTCCTTGGGGCCGCCACCGCCCTTGGCAGGGCCCCTGCGATGGTCCCTCTGGCCGCCACCGCCCCTGAACTTGTCTCCTGGAGGTACCACCAACCCTGAGAGGTTCCCTGGGAGCACCGCCGCTCCTGGAAGAGGCCCTGGGGTTGTCACCGCCTCTGGGTGAGCCTCTGGGTGAGCCTCTAGGTCGCCGCTGTTGCAAAGGAGAACCCCTGGGGAGCCCTTGGGGGCGCCATTGCCACTAGGAGGTCCCCTGGGGCACCGCTGCCCCTGGGAGGGCCTCTTGAGGCGCCACCACCCCTGGGGGCTACCGCATCTGGAAGGGCCCCTGGGGCGCCGCTGCTCTTAATGAGAGCCCTTAGGGGATCCTTGGAGGCACCATTGACCCTCGGAGGACCCCTGGGTGCGCCACCGCCTCTGGGATTGTCCCTGGAGGCGTCGCTGCCCCTAAGGAGAGCCACTGGTGGGCTCCTTCTCTGGGAGGGCCCCTGGGGGCGCTACTGCCCCTGTGAGATCCTCTGGGGGCACTGCCGCCCCTGGAAAAGCCACTGGGGGAGCCGCTGCCCCTGGAGGCACCACCGCCTCTGGGAGGTTCCCTAGGGGTTCCCTTGCCTTTGGGCGGGCCCCTGTGAGCGCCGCCGCCTTTGGGATGGCCCCTGAGGTCGCAGTCGCCCTTGAGTGGGTCCCTGGTGTCACCGCCGCCCCTGTGAGGGTCCCTCGGTCACCACCGCAACTGGGAGGGCCCCTGTATGGAGGGCGTGGAGGAGGGGTGTGGGTTTGGCGGGCGTGGAGGAGGGGTGTGGGTATGTAGGGTGTGGAGGAAGGGTGTGGGTATGGAGGGCGTGGAGGAGGGATGTGGGTATGGAGGACATGGAGCGGTGTGGCTATGGTGGACGTGGGGAGGGTGTGGGTATGGAGGGCGTGGAGGAGGGGTGTGGGAATGGAGGGCGGGGGGAGGGTGTGGCAATGGAGGCGGGAGGGGTGTGGGTATGGAGGGCGTGGAGGAGGGGTGTGGTTATGGAGGGCGTGGGGGAGGGGTGTGGCTATGGAGGGCGTGGGGGAAGGGTGTGGGTATGAATTGATTGATTTTGTCGCTTACAGCGGCTAGTTTATTGTACACCCCATACTCATCCTGTGAGCGGTAGCGCAAAAGGATTACAGAGTAGAGTTTACACCGGGTCATAATAATTAACCCCCGTGGTCAGGATATTTTGGCACTGAATGTTACACAGTATTTCAACTACATTATTTGTTTAGTTCTATACATAAAGGGTAGCTTATTCACAAATGCGTGAGTACAGGCGTGTGAGGCAGTATGCCTGGCCGCACACTTTGTTATTCACATTTGCCTGAGAAGTATTCAAGGACAAAGTGTGTTTGGTTCTATACATGGGAACTGATATAGTTACTACGTTCAAAAAAGTGGATACAATCTTAATATTTCGGCTATCTTGCCATTAGAGATGAAGTGTTGTGCCATTTCACACACAGTGTTCTTGGACCTGTCCCTAAAAGGTTCTATATTCACACAGTCGAGGACGTTGTGTTCAAGTATGTGGCCATATGTTTGGCCACACACTTTACATTTAGTCTTGTTTACATCTGCTAGAGGAACATACTGCCAGAGGTACTTATATCCTAACCTAAATCTAGCGGTTACAACATCTTGTAATCTAGTGATCGTGTTACTTGCTCCATATACATGTTTCACTTGATACATCTCATCATGGTAAACTATGGATCGAATAGTTTGCACTTGTATGCTTGCATTAAATTCATCAATAGGTTCTTTCCTCATTACAGTTTTAAGGGTTCATTTTGATAGACCCATATTGTATTCAACGGTGTCTTTGATAGACGCGAGTTTGGCGAGAGTATCAACTCTGTCATTGTTTTATGAGGCCTATGTGAGAGGGGATCCACAACAGTTTGACCTTCACACACCGGTCAACAAGGTACGCATATTTGTGTCAGCTTCAGAGACGAGCGCGTGACAACTTGAGTTGAGGGTGTCAAGGGCAAGTAGTGAGAATAGAGAGTCAGTGATGATGAGACCGTCAGTGACAGTGGTTTCAATTAATTTAAAAGCTGTGAGTATGGCAACTAATTCAGTTTGCAGAGTGGATGCCCAGTTGTTAATTCCAACTCCTTTCTCAATTATATTACCGTCAGGTTGAGTCACAACAATAGCACTTTCAGCCCTCCCACAGGCGGTGTTAAGAGATCCATCAGTGTAGATGGTCTGTGTGATGTTATTATCAGTCTGTAGAGTGTGTGTGTTCAAGAGCTCCCTCTTTGGCAGTGTGGTAGAGATAAATACTTTTTATAATTAATTTTTTAGGCGGATATGTCGGTATTGTGATATCGAAGAGAACTGTCCGTCAGAGTGGAAGGAAGTGCTGTGTCTCAACTTTGTATAGATGGTCTAGTCCAAACATTTTCATGTGTATAGCTGTAGTTTGGATCCATTTAGATTCACCAGTCCCATGGTTCATACATTCTAGCAATTTTAAGGAAACAATGATATCAGTATACTGCCAGACTGGGGGTCACTAATGCTAAGGGGGAATACTTAACTCTAATCTGAATTTCTAAGGGTCGCTGCCACCAGACCCCCTCTGGACAGCATGTAGCTCGTTAGGTAGCGTGCAGAGTGGACTAGGCATTGGGTTAGGTTTTTCATTGACCAGATCGATAAGGGGAAAGAAGGGTGAAACCATAACATGTCTTAATTAATTTATTCCTTATAAAACATACTGGTAAAAAAACATTCAAATGAATTGGCCTTCCTCAGAAGAACAACGAAAATGTTGGTTACCCAGATGGGCACCAGACGTCTTACATTAATGGCGTGTCATCCACATACTTATTGCATAACAATCTGTGACCACCTTACCTCCGTCATCCCTTCTTACACTATCCCTTAACACATCAGACAGCTCCACCTGTATGGAATATAGCACCGTCGGTTATCATACATAGTAGCACCATCTCAACACACGTTACACTCCACCCCTGCAGGTATGGGACTCCTTGTAACTTTTAGGTATACACAACAGGCACCTCGTTCGCACACCGTCCTCGGTGGGTAAAGACGAGGGTTTCACCGAGAGACATACCAGTACTATTTCTACGCCTGGTATTATAGGTCGCTCCAAGTGACGACTGCAGAGTTTCTCACGGTCTCCTTATTTGTTACTACTCATTTGGAGTGGTGTGCTGGAAATACACAGGTTCACAGTGGATTGGCATAGCTGGGAGTAGTCACCACCTGTTGAGACACTCATAGGGATAATGGCTGCCAAGCAGCAAGGCACTCCGACCACATGGAACCTGAGGTGACGGTAGAACGAAAGGGACTGAGTAATAATGCCTGACGGGCGGTTATCACACGCCCTAACACATTACTATTACACTTATACATCAGGCAAAGCTTTAAACTGTAATAACTTCTATATAAGCCTTAATTATAGGGCGGGATATAGCTCGATAGGACACTGACCTGAGGTGACGGTAGAACGAAAGGGACTGAGTGCAGTGCCCCGCCGCTCGTCACCGCGTAGGCCTACAGTTTCCAATCTTTAATTTGTACTTTTATTTCTTACGGTTCTCACCTGAACAATTTTCGGCATATTGTGACTCATGATTATATACACATATTTTAACCCTAAAGTACAAACTAAGGTAAGGTTCGGGTTTGTTAATTCGTGGGTAAATTCATAGGGTTATAATATCAACACGGCACACTCGAGGCGGGTACAGGACGCTCCTTAAAACAAAGGCCGAATGTTCATGACGGGGGTGTCTCAACTTCACTTAAAACTGTAATTAGGGATCCTCCTCTCACACATTGCACTATTTGAACACAGACATAAGATTCTCTGATCACTGTACCTGTCGTGGGTATATGTCACATGATGATACGACGTGTATTAAGTTCATACCAACGTATACAAGATATTTCCTTTCAAGTATAGTTTCTGGGTCACTTCCAACACCTCACATAGTTCTGATACATTTATCCTTTTTCCAGACCATTGTTCTCATGTATTTTCATATGGTATCTGTGGAAGTTATGTTCGCTACACGTTCACAGACGTAAATAGTATGACCTTCAAACCCTGATCCACACTTAGTCCTACAGTACACTAGTCCGGCTCAACTGGACTTTAACATTCATCTTATGGATACCCTGAGTTCTCCTTAATGCTATGAATACATACAATTAATATTATATAACTGTACCTGGGTACAATACAACACATGGTCTATTAACATTGAGTAGGTGAGTTATCCTTTATCAATGTTTCCCGTTTTCTGAAAATCTACAAGCGCTGTGGATTTGAATGTTATATAGCGTAATATGAATTAAATGGGGTTTTTAGGAATGACAATGATGTGCGCAGTACATCAGGATTGTAGTGGATTTCTCCCCTACAAACGCTGTTTGTCGCTGAGTAGCCGACCCTGCGAATTCCCCAGTGTATACCTCATGGTCTGGGTCAACCAGCGCCACCATACATCACGGAGGTCAACTACTAAGCCACGCCTACCCCCGCTATTTAAGACCTGACCTCGTGGTGACCTCTCTCTTCTTCTCGCTGCAGCCGCAGCAAGCAACACCACCTCCTCCGCCGCTGCCAGGCGGCCCTCGCTCCCGCCGGCGAGCATGGCGACCCACAGGCTGTCCTCCTCTGAGCACCCTCACCAACCAGCTCTCTCTACATCACGCTTGTAGCCACGCTGCCACTTTCCAGCACCAAGCTGCATTGTACACCAATACAACATATATACAGAGAGCACATTGTGAGTTTCCTTTCTCCATCCCATCCTGAGTGTGAACCAAACAACCGGTTCCCCACAAATGGTGACCCCTGGAGATTCGCACTCACACAGGATGGAGGAGAAACAGATCATGCTCCCAGTCTTCAAGCAACATGGAAGACTGGCTTATCCACCCAGAAGCAGCTATCATCGGCTCCACAGCTACTGTCTCTAAACCTCTAAACCGCAGGTTAGACACCCTAGAGCAGCACTGCTTCTCTAAGCAGACACCAGCTCCTCTTCCTGCCCCAAGCACCACGTCCTACCGACCCCAGCACACCCGTCCTGCCTCAGACGCCGCCCCCGGCCCAGCAGTACCCCCTGCCGCTCCTCCTGATGCAGCCCCTACTACCGACGCAGCCCATGCGCCTGAGTGCGGACCCACACACCCCTCTTTTCTCCCTCAGGTACTCCCTGCTACTGTCCAGCACCCTGCTGCTGTCGTGGACCCAGCTGCTTTCACGAGCCCTCATCCGCTTCTGCTGACGCAGCCCCTGCTCCTGACCCAGGCCCACACACCCCAGCAGGCGCATCTGACGACTCTGTACCTGCCGTGAGGGAAGCACAACATTCATCGCCTCCACACACCCTTTTTCTCCCTCTCTACTCCCACAGATGTTGTGTATCTAGACAGTTGTCTCCTCTAGCGGCTGGCTCATACACGCCCGCGCCGTTATGCTCACTACATCCTTGACCACCGAAGGGTCAAGACGTACCTGGCGCTCCTCTCGGAGCAGCCAGGTCAACTGTTAAGTTGGCCCATACTAACCCCCTCCCCTGAACCCTCCTCCCCACCGGAATATCAACAAGTTCTCGCCAGAAGTTACAATTTCATTTAGGAAAGGAACGGAACCAGTGTTAAACCGAGGTGAACAGTGGTGAACAGTGCTTAAGTCAGTGAGAACAACTCAACAGTAACAGTCACACCCAAGTTAACCTTCACACAGTGAGGTCCCAGGTACCCAGTGATAACGGCCCCCGCGAGACCCAACAACAACCACCGATGTGTTAATCCGTCTACGATAGGAAGGCCTGGTGACCAAACCTCACTCATATAACACCATCTGTGAGGGAATTACTACACCACATGTCCCTCATAACACCATATGTGAGGGAATTACTACACCACGTCAAGTCCCTCATCACACCATCTGTGAGGGAATTACTACACCACGTGAGGTCCCTCATAACACCATCTGTGAGGGAATTACTACACCACGTCAGGCCCCTCATAACACCATCTGTGAGGGAATTACTACACCACGTGATGCCCCTCATAACACCATCTGTGAGGGAGTTACTACACCACGTGAGGCCCCTCATAACACCATCTGTGAGGTAATTACTACACCACGTGAGGTCCCTCATAACACCATCTGTGAGGTAATTACTACACCACGTGAGGTCCCTCATAACACCATCTGTGAGGGAATTACTACACCACGTGAGGCCCCTCATAACACCATCAGCGAGGGAATTACTACACCACGCCAGGTCCCTCATAACAACATCTGAGGGAACTACTACACCACGTGAGTTCCTCCTAACACCATCTGGGAGGGGGCTACTACACTACGAGTTTGCTGTTCAACACCTACATTAATCTGTATGTTCACTGTATGTTCCTTTACCTTTCTCTAATGAAGGCTTTTGTTAATCCACCAATGTATGTAATAAGTCATTTATGTCCAATGTATATTTTCAGCCTTCGGGCTGCAAAATTTTTTCAATAAACCGTTAATTATTATTATTATTATTACATGTGGCATGCACCGCCCGTTCTGCCTCACATGTGCCATGCAACCCTGCAGACAACAATGTGAGGGGGCCGGATTTTTAGGCCTGCCACCAATGTGAGGGGGCGGGTTCCCTCTCTGTTTCTACACCTCCCTCATCTTTACTCTTACTCACAACATTACTGGTGGTAAATTACATGGCATTCATTGTAGATTATTCAACATATACGTAAACACTGACACTAGTATATGCAGGGGTCCACTACCCAACATGGGATAATTATTTCCAACTAATTATCCCTAATATACATGTTACAACACTCTCTGGACATTCACTTCCAAGGAGTAACCCAGGGCAGAACACTAGGGCTCGCGGCCTTTGTTATTGTGGGGTAGCCAGACACATGGCGGGTCTGGAGTCTGGTCCAACGAAGCCGTGGGGCACATTAATCAGGCCGTATCGGTGCCATCTTTTCATATATGATCCCGGCTGGCCATCTACTACATCCGAGGCCGTTGTTGGATGGTAGAGCGATTCAAGAATCCCAAGGATCTGGAGACAAACGGGAATCAACGTCAGGGGACTGAGAAACATGACAACACCAACAAACTCTCTTGTCTAGACGACAGACGCATTTACGTTATATTACTTCCACACTGGGTGAATGACAATTCATCTGTTAAATCATGAACACTGGTGAACACTGATATTCACTACAATTGGCTGAATTAACTGAATGGCTAGGGAACACAGAACCTACCTGGAGACAAACGGGAATCAGCGTCAGGGGACGCTCTCCCTGGCCATCTTGAGTTTTTATACCCCTGAGTTGCCAGTGATCGCTACTCACGCAATGACAATAATTACAAACAAACTAACTGTTACTCATTCAAAGATGACCCTCAGTTGACAAAGGTCTGGCGAATTACTTGGGTTGATTTACACAGACTAATTCAAGATTGAGCTTCCCAGGAGAAAGTGGAATAAACAACGTATTGATAACTGTCTTCACAAAGGCGAGGCTTACTGGGAGGGATCGCGAGGGTAAACACGCTCCTTCTAGGGGTCGCTAACTCACTCATGTTTTGCGGGCGTGGAGTTTAATAAGAATCATTAGTTAAATAGATCAGCAGTCAACGTGACCATGACAACAAGTCTCCTACACCGCCTGGAGGGAAGGGAGGAGTATTGTAGTGGATTTCTCTCCTACAAACGCTGTTTGTCGCTGAGTAGCCGACCCCGCGAATTCCCCAGTGTATGCCTCGTGGTCTGGGTCAACCAGCGCCACCATACATCACGGAGGTAGGTAGTAGGTAGTAGGCAGCTACCAAACAGGGAGGTACTACCACCTGGGAAGATATTGGAAGCATAATGTGTTGTCTAATGGTAGACCCTGCTGCCATATGGCATCACGAAAATTGTGACCAAGTCCCAGGTTGCTGATCTATCTTTCTGCCTCATTTACACACAATTGCAGGGTCTCAACTGTCTCTCTTACTATTGACAACACCACAACTAAAACCTTACTCATTCTTGGTCTGTTTTATTCATTCTATTTTATTCTCCTATGTCAGTTGATATTAATACTGAAGCGGGGCCTTCTCGGATGGGTCCCACTGGTCGGGAAGGTTGTGGACCCTAGGGCCGACCTGATCATCATCAAGCTACTGGGGCCTCAACTGACGCCACTACGGTTGCTGGAGGATCGGCTTTTTTCACGCTTCATTTTTCCAACATTCGCGGACTGAGATCCAACTTTTCTTCTGTGGAGCACCATCTATTAACCTCTTCCCCCGACCTCTTACTACTCTCCGAACTTCAACTGACCAAAGCAGCTTCACCCAAACCTTTTCAAGTCTCAAACTACAACCTTTATACCTACTTCCGTTCTAAGGGAGGTGTATGCGCCTACTGCAATATACGTACACCTACAGCCCGACTCACGGATCTTGAATCTCCCCTTTATGATGTCATCTGGCTCAAAATATCTCTACCTACTGTGACTATTTTTCTTTGTTTCCTATACTGTTCTCCCAACTCTACAAACTATTTCGAACTCTTTGACTATCTC